TCCATCGCCTTTATGGTGATCTACTGTTTGGCGCTCTTCATAGGGATCAACACAATGATTATGCGACTACTGATCGACGTGTTTAAGTTGATCGAAGTGTCGCCCACTTTCCAGTCCACGTTCGAGCGCATAGCTATGGTGTTCCCGCCGTACGCCCTCCTCAGCGGACTCGTCGACATTCATCGGAACCAATTGTTTGCCGATATCTTCACTCTCTTCGATCAGGACACTTACGTCAACCCATTCTCGATGCAACTCTTGGGCCCCTATTATATCACACTCGCGGTCGAGGGTTTCGTACTGTTCTTCGCGAACCTAATCTTCGAGTTGTTCTCGTTCTCCACGTATAAGACGAAGACAATCATCAAATCGATTGTTCACAACGAGGACTCGGATGTGGCCGAAGAGCGCAAGAAAGTGCACCTCAACGACACCAGCAGTGATATACTGAAGATCGTTGGCGTCACCAAAGCTTTTCAATCCATGTTTGGTAAGCGAGTGGCCGTCGATAACGTCAGCTTTTCGGTGCCGAGAGGAGAGGTCAGTACAACAGTTGCGGTCAATACAATCATATAATGTATTATTCTTGTAGTGTTTCGGTCTGTTGGGTGTGAACGGCGCCGGAAAGACCACTTTATTCCGGATACTGACCGGTCAAGAATTCGGCTGGTGGCCAGTCCGCCTCTAGTTGCCTGCGCTATATGCGGTTTAGGACAGCAGTCTAGTAGTCAGGGAGCCGATGACAGGTGTCCCTCTGCGAGACCTGAAACACGAGTGCGGAATGCTTGACCTGACTATTTATGCACATCTCAGGGGAATACCCACTCAACACATCCCAACTGTAAGACATGTTCCCACATATCATACACATTATGATTGAGAATAATTAAACGCCAAACTCTTGATGACCAGATTGTGAACGAATCGTTGGCAAAGTTCCAACTGATGCCACACTCGCAGATGACGGTACTGACGCTGAGTCGCGGCAATCGCCGCAAACTATGTCTGGCCATCGCTATGTTAGGCAATCCACAGTTGGTTCT